CAAAATTTTTAAAAAATTTGGCGCAGCTTACAGTATTAGTATATTTTAAGACGGTTTAATTTCTCTGCAACTTTGGGGGAAGATATAATTCACATTAGTTTTTTTAATCTGCTTCGAATTATTTCGAATTATTTTGCGTAAATTTGCGTTATTTCTTGCGTAATATTGCATAATTATCTTACGTAATATTTCGTAATTATATATTTCGCAATTTTGCGAAAGTTATTACGTAATATTACGGTTTTCTTATGCTTCGTAAATTATTGCGCAATATTACACCCTATTAAATTTGCTGATGCACTCCATAAATAAAGATCATTAAATTCAGATTTTTATAAGCCATATGTTATAAATATTAATATTTATTAGTACAAGTATCTAACAAAAATATATAAATTTTTTTTTAACTTGAAGCTCTCAACTAGTTCTTTATGGAACTGTAATAAAACTATTTTTTAAATACTGTAATTGTTATAGCTAATGCTAAAATTTTGAGGTTTCTATTTAGATTTAATTAATATACTCTAATCTAAACTCTACTCAAACTATTATTTAAAAACTAAAAAAATGCATACCCAAAAATTATAATAATTTAATAATAAAATAATCAAAATTTTAGCATTAGCTGTAACAATAATTTTTTTTATTTAAACAGTGATCTTATAGACTATCTCAGTATTTGTTTATTAAAGATTGTTGTTTCTGTTACAATAAAAGTATAGTCAACTCTTTCTAAATACATATTGCTAGGACCCCCTGCATTTAAAAAAAACCTGCAATTAAAGAAAATTAAAATTATTAAAAATTTTATTAATAAAAAAATAATAAAATCTTTAAAAATTAATAACTTTTGATCTAATTTGGAAAATTTAACTACCAAAATAATTCTCTTATAAAGATGATTCTAATGAATCTAAAATTAGACAAATCTGATTACATAATTCTAAAATTAATAATTTGTATTATATTTACTATAGTAAATATAATATAAAACATTAACATTCTTGGGATCATGTGATAAAATTTTTATATTCATTATAAGAGGATTATTTTAATAATCAAATCATCCAAATTGAATTAATAGATTAAAAGTTATTAATTTTTAAAAATTTTATTATTTTTATAATAATAATTTTATAAAATATTATATTATTATATATTATTGGTTCTTTTTTATTTTTTTTAGATATTAAGGTGACCTCTCTAGCTGGGAACTTTTTATTAAGTAGAAATGACATTATACAATTACAACAAAGATATATCAAGCCATATATACACTTTTGGTACCTAATTTAAATAGTCTGCCCAAAGTGGTAGTGCTATACTAAGGGTACTACACTATTTGCTATATTTGCACTCCAACTATAGAGTACTCATTTAAACTCTCTGGTTACAACTGTCAATGGCTTCTACCTAACCAAGGCATAATAACTTACTATTCAGAAGTAGATTTTGCAATATCTATAAATTTCACACCCACTTTAGAACTTACTAAACCCTATATTGAGTCTAGTTTATTCACAAGATAAACCTAACAGAGTAGTCCATATTCCATACATGTTTTTATCTACATGTTTGGTAATTTCTTCCTATCTAGTACCTGTTGTATTGCTATTACCAGGTTCATATCTTAAGCCAACTTTTGGGGTGCTACTGTAATCTGATCCATATTTTAAGCACAATCTTCCTAATTAGTTGCAATTATATACCCTGCTCTTATAAGGTTCACAACAATCCTAGTACTTATATTCTAGCCATCTTTTTATTTAGATTCTTTATTAGTCTCTCTTTTATTTCTAGCTAGCAACTTGGATAGGTCGGTCTGCTTAGGCTTTAAATATCTAAAAGATGCCCTACTTTTGGTTTATACTTTTGAAGTATATATCCTTTTTCTCCAGTGCAACAACCTGGTAGTTCAGCTAGTGTGTTTTTCGCTAGCGGATCTGATTACTCAGTTCTCTGATCTTAGGCTTTTAGTTTGAATTCAGCCTTTCTGTGATACTATTAAAGATCCCTGCTACTTCCAATTTAGAACTTCCCAAATAGGTTTTCAATTATACCAGTTCTTTAGATTTATTGTGTCAAAGCTTCTATTACGAGATGGTATAACTAAAGTTACAAATTTAGTTCTAGATCCAACTGATAAGCATAGCCGTCAACCAAAACACAGGCACATTTTTCAAATATTGTCATCTGTGGGATTTGAACTTTAGACCTGCTACTTGAAGAGGTTAACAACTAGACTACTACACTAAATTGCCACATCTCTATATTATTGGTTTATATTATAATTAAAAGAAATAAAATATATAAATTTTAATTATTTTATTATTTAAATAAATATTCTCAAATTTGATTGGTTAATATATTAAAAATGCATTTAGAAAGAATATTTTTATATATATAATTTGAAAAATAACCTGCATTTAGAGAATATAAAACATGCATTTATTTTATAAGTTTCAACTTGGGACCAGGCTATTTTCATGCATATAGAGAGAACATGTACTTAGAGAACATGCACTTAGAAAGAGTCAACTGTATTGAGCTATAATATATTAAAATTCTAGCTAATTTTAATTAGTAGTTCCAAAGAAATTATCTAAAAACTATAAATAACTTTTTTAAAAAAAATTATTTATAATTTTTAAGCAAATTCTCAAAAACTACTAATCTAAATTGGCCAAAATTTTAATATATTATACTGTAGCCCAATATCATGTTTATTTTTAGTAAAAATTTTAGCCAATTTGAATTAGTAAAATTAAAGCCAGAGGTTAATTTTTATTAAATTAAAAAATTTTTATATTAAAACCTCAATATTTTATTTTTAATGTACTGTATATAAAGTGTACTTTATATTAGTCACATCTTATATCAATAAGCCAGCTCAACTCGATTTTTCTATTGGCTTATTAAGGCTTATTTAGTTTTTATACTATATAATACAGTATATAAAAATATCACTTATTTGTATAATTTATATAATATTTTTGAATGTACTGTATCATATGTTATACAGCTTATAAATCAAATAAGTCCTAAATAAGCCAATAAACGTGTAGAATAAGCCTATTCAAGTCGGCTCATTGGAGAACACTACCTTATATAATTACCAGTTTTTATATTTCAAAGATATGACTATAGAGTGGTTAAACTGTATTTTAAACATTTATGTTTTATGTAGTATATAAATAAAAACTGGTTTAGTTTTAACCCGAATTTAATATATATAGCTTTTATATTAAATACAAGGTTAAATTTTACTTTTTTAAACAATAAAAAAAAAATTTACAGAACTAATTTTTTTTTATTTTAATATTCACATTTTTTTTTGTTTCACATTTTGTATAAGTATATAAACAGCTTACAAAATATGTAATATATGCATATATATGTATAATGCTAATTATTAATTTCTATATAATCTTAAATTTTATACCCAAACTAGTAATTACTAATGAATATCAAAAACCAAAATACCACATATATAAAATAAAATATCCCCACGAATCCAATGATGCAAATCGTAATACTCTTCTGATTTCCCATCATATATATACATTCTGCTACGTACTAACAGGTGTACTTTCAAATGTTTTTGAATATGGAAGTTTTTGATGTTGCCTCAGCACATTCTTAACATTTCTTCCATGAACTTTAAATTGATACAAACAAGTGTACCTATCATGTCCCCAATTACTATTAATTTTAAATATTATACTCTTTATGGGTATTCTTTCACTCCCATTTTTATGGTCAACCTGAAATATCTGTACAGGTGGGCCTTCCAGATCATAAATGTATTCACCAAGTTGTACGTAACCTTGTGATACTTCTAGGGCTTTTGAAGTTGAATTTGATAAATATTTTTCATCTGGAATTCCTAGTACGGCAAATCTAGCCGGAGCGCTTAAAATGTTTGTATCATCCAAAGCTAAATTTCGATCTAAATGTTGATATGAGACGGAGGTGATATATATTGTTCTACTTAATTGGATTGCAAGTTGGCCCCGCATTCCAGAAAAGGCAAAACAATTACCAATTTGATTGTTTCCATCAATAGCAACATGAGGTTTATGTCCATGAATATAACCATTATAAAGTAATAAGGAGAACATTTTGTGAAATTTTGTATTTGGCATTTCAGAATAAGGTCTAGAAGTTAAACTATGAATTATACGAGCACCACCTGAAGAAAGAGCAAAATCGGGCATATTACGAATATCAGTTCTAATATATTCTTGAACTAAACTATGAGCAGCAGACATTACCCATTCATTAAGTTGTTCTTTGTCAGGAAGAATAATTGAACCATATTTTTCACGGAGAACACGTTCAACGATTGGTGGTACAGTTTTTCGTAACATCTCATCTACTTTTTGTAAAGATTGTTCTAGATTCATATGTACGTCTAACATGGATGGAATTGTCTTCGGACCGTAGTTAGAACCCAGCATAGAACCAATTTTAAACAATAGTAAATCATAAATATCATCATATTGTCTTGTTTCATTATCACTTATAATACTGACTTCATCAATATCATTCGTTGATTTTAATAAAATGAAAAATAATATAAGGGTTATGACTAATATTAAAGTTTTACGACCAACCACGAATTTACGAATTTCAACTGATACGCTTGCGATCATACTAATAAATTTTAACCATATAGCATAAATCATGGTGACAAAAAACTCTTGACGAGTTTGCCTAATATAATAAAAATATAGAATGCGTTATTTAGTTATGTAATAAAAAAAAAATAAAAAAATAAAAAATAAATTTCTTACTGTGTGTTATTTATAGGAATATCTTCAATTATTGGTGGTCTCTCTGCTGTTTGTGGATTAAAATTTTCGATCGATCGACCTTCTAATGATCTTTCATTTTCTGGAATAATAACTGTTGGCTGATCGTCCGGTATTCGAACAGGAGGAGTTTTAGGTCTACGAATATTATTCGTAACTGGTTTCTTCTCTTGAGATTTTTTATTGACACGTCGCCGTCTCGAAGTAAGCGGAGTAACACTTTTATTTATTCTTTGTGTAGATGGTAACTCAGAATCCGAAAAACCGCCAGCTTCATTTCCTTTGTGTTCATCATGTTTTGGCCCTACTCCATAATCCTGCTTTCGAGTAGCAACCATAGCTGCGTAAAATATTAGGATTCATTAAGAGAATAATTTGTTAAAGATTAAGAAATACCGGATAGACAAAAAACAGCCGTGATTCATGTTTGATATATTCAAGTAATTTTTTGAATTCATGTAGATTTTAGAGGGTAGGCTCACCAAAATACACACCCAACGGCCAAAATAAATTGATGCATACCAATATAAAACTCGAAAATTAGATCAATAAACCGATTTTATTTCGATATCTTAGGAAATATAAATATATATGATCAAAAGTTTGGTCAGTAAATAAATTACATGTAAAATTTCTTTCAACTAACAAAGACGGCATAGTATTACTTACAGCTCAAACGGCTACCGCGAGAAGTTAAACGGCTGACACGCCAATTTGTTTTAACAAATGTGTTGAAAGATTGTAAAAGTTCTCTAATTATTAAGCGATACTGTGTCCTTTTCGAAATGGATGAGGAAAGTTAACAAGCAGTTCTTTTGGCGGGACCAAGCCTCGAGGGTAGTTGTATATGTTTTAATAAGACTCACTTCTTGTCGTTTTATTATAATATTAAAAACTAAACCTGACTTGAAGTAACGGCTCCAGTGTGGACTGTCATGTACACTGATAATGGTGTCTTGACTTACAAGACAAAAAAGCACTAAAAGAAATGATAGTAATAAAAAAATTTTTTTTTTGCCTGAGAAGAAAATGTAGGTGGATGTTCAGTAAACTACCCGGTACATACATATATACAAATTAGCCTCTGAGGGATTTCTCACTTACACATACATAGTTAGTCTCAAACACGATATATAATCATGATTGCACATGTATAAATTTTTTCATTGTCATTTACAATTGCATAACCCTGATACGCGCATTTATGGCGCATTTATTTGACTATCACATTTGAAAGAACAAGTGAACCTTTAATACTTAATCTTGAATAATCAGGTACGTATGTATGTGCATACGTACAGTACGTACAAAAGGGGATTTCTATTGTGAACATTTCAACCCTGAGAACTTTCTTGCCGGTGCGTACGTACGTACGAAGTTAAAATCGTAGTTGATATTGTGCAATCATGTTATTTAAACATTGTTTCCGAGCTTTGAATGATCTTTTTTTATCTGCATTATTTCAATTTTGTACATTGATAAATTTCCTTATTAGTGCTTTTTTCCAAAACTGTTTATGAAAATCATTATATATAGAATGAGTCAGAAATAAAAAACTCAAAACTCTAATATAGAATTCACGAGATTTGAGAAACAAATATTGATAAATTTGGAATTTGTTTGATTTTCCAAAAAACGTTACTGGTGTTGGGTAAAACACGTGGCGTAATTTAAAACGAAAAGTTACCACTAATTAAATTACTTAAATTGAATTATGCTTTATCTTGTTTATATGTATATTAACATATTTGTATATGTAATGAATGATAAAGAAGGGTGTTATGACGCAAGCGTTATCGTTAATAGGCCTCATTGAGACGAGTCGAATAACACTAAAATTGGCCAATTTCGACAACTTGGTAAGATTGTTCAAATAAAGAAATAAATTTACAACGCACAGATGATATCTCGTGATCCATCAATTGGAATCGCAGTAATAAATTCTGTATTACTTTTTGAAGAAGTTCTGGAAAATTTTTTATTTATTATTCAATAATACATTGATTAGTATGATGTCTAAGTGATTGGAATCGTGTAATTTGAATTAAGAAATTCTTAAAAGCTAACATATTTTATATATAGCCGTCAATTTTTTAGCTGTTGTGTAATCTAATTGATCAATAAAATTGCAGAAATTAATAAATTTAAAACTATATCTTAAACTATATCACAGGTCGAAAAAAGTAGAACAGAAAAATATCATAGAAATATCAGGCTCCGATTTTGTTGATTTTTGTGACAACACTTACTGATAGCTCTATTAGCACCTGATATATCTCTGTTGTTGTCACGATGGGCGCCAAAAATCAACAAAAATCGAAACCTGATATTTTTATATTATAGCACGGCCACTATTGATCATGAGTATTACACTATTTATGTTATAAATCACTTTCTTTTTATTTCGTCATTCATGCTTGTTATTTTGCATGATGCATACGTCATCCATACTTATATTATTTTGCACCATACGAATTAAAGATGTTTTAAAAAAAACATAAATAGTATAATTTATGATCAATGACCGCCGAACTATACCAACATACTGTTATCTCAAATTATCATACTATATTATATAAATATTTTTCTGATCTACTTTTTCGACCTGTATATACTGTATATCGATATATATTTAAATTAAAGCTTAAGCAAAAAGCTGTTATATATATTATCATTACTTTTTTACTTCTAAACTATATATTACTAATAATTATACAATATATATATACAATTATATACTGTATAGTATACACAGGTTGAATGAAGGCAAAGCAAGCACCAATCGGCATCATGTAACCCGATATGAACCTGATTTGAAACAGATATTTGAATGCCGATATCTCTATAGGTATAGTGGGAATTATCTTTCTTAATAAAAAGTTTTATTGAAATTGTTAAAATTATTAATTATTGAATGGTGAAATTGGTGAAATTAGTTTTTCAATACTAAAAATTAATTTAAATTATACATATCAAAAATTTATTAAAACTTAACTAAATAGTTATATGATATGTATTTAATTATAGAAATATTAAATTTGGAAATGAATTTTACCCATCTATATCTATAGGTAAATTGATAAAGCTATAAGGCAAGCTTTGTTGATTTACCTATAGAGCTATTGGCATTCCGATATATATTGAATGACTATATAAACCTGATTTGTATCCTAAAAGTCTCTTATTTTATGCCAAGTATCTGTTTCAAATCTGGGGTTACATGATGCTGATTTGCCTCCTTTATTTGACCTGTATATATGTAATATATAAATTATTATTTTTTAATATTAATCTTTATACTATATATTTACCAAATAATAATAATATAATTATTAAAACAAAAAACAAGAATCTAATAATTATAAAGGTTGTTTTTTTTTTTTAATTCGGCAGTCTTGCCAATATCATTTATTAGTACGCTAAGGTATTTTGGTTACAAATGTCACATGTACAATTACAACACTTCTAATGTATTACATGTATTAGCTTACCCAGTTACTAAATTAGCACCTATATATGACCTGCTATATGAGATTTTATCTCCTTAATAACTGCTTTGCAACTAGACCAGTTACTAAATTACCAGATGGTTCTCAAACCTATTATATCATATATATCCCGCTTATATACTACTGTACAACATCTACCAACCAACTTCTACCCCTCATCACTTATTACATTACTCCTAATTCGTTTCTTGTATTGCTTCCAAATTGGTGTTTATCGAGTGGGCGCTCTTTGTGCTTCCAGTTTGGTGTCCCTAGGGGAGTTACTTTAAATTCTAATTCATATCTCAAGCCAGGTACTACCGTCATCATAAGACCCGTATCTCAAGCCACCTGCTGCTACTATTAGGAGAGTTATTTCATGTTGATCCAGGTATTCGCGTTATACACCACCAAATTAGGCTACTGCTCCTTTTTATATACTCCCATCAGTATGGTGTTACAGAAGTCTAGATCCTTAGAACGGAAGTTAAGTATCTCATTTAATTACTGTCACAAGCCAGTAACCCAGAACCTGCGCTTCTGCTATGTTTTGTCATGCTTCCACGACTCCCATATAGGTTGTGCGACATATTACTCACTGGCCATCTTTATTTTCGTACTACCAGAGCGCTTGCTTCCATGCTTTTCGGGGTTTAATTATAAAGGTTGTAATTATATACAGTATACAATATAAGATATTATTAATAAAAACAGTTTATTTTTATACTTAATAAAAAAGTTTGTTATATGTTACAAAAGCTAATTATACATATAATAAAAAAGTTTACAAAATAGACTACAGTATAATATAAATATTTTATTTATTTATTTTTTTTAATTATAAGAGTGTAGCACCCACACTTAGACTTTATTAATACTTAAATGATTGACATATGATGGTGCCTATACATATACATATTATTTCAAGTACTAAGACTAGGACATCAGGTATACAAACCATTTATCTACAGCTAAAACCCACCAGAGCCAACTGTATTCCCACTATACTGTTGACCTGGATTTTGTATATCCTTACTCACTGCTATTTAACTTCCACATATCCACCGCTTTACCTACATTATCTACTATCTTAACTCCCAAATTGGTGTGTTAATGCTTCAGGTAGGTGCTTAATACTTCCAGTTTGGTGTGCCTAGTTTGTGCTCCTATTTGGTGTACTTGTAGGGGGTTTGTATCTCAAGCTATGCAGCTACCTCTACCCAGATAGGTAAGTATCTCAAGCCTGCATGCTACTACAACTAGCCCACTTTCCTGCAACTTTCAGAGTTTAGGTCTTAATATATTAAATTCAGTAATTATACAAATGGCTATACTCTCTTTATAGTAACGAGGACCCAGACATGTTTCGTAACAGATTACTCTGCACTTCCAAAACCGATAGTTGGCTGGCATCATGAGGTTCTTTGTGTAACAGGTGTATCATTATTTCTTTTTATAGTGATTCTCAGCAGTTGTAGCTCATTTACACACTGCATGCACTTATACCAGCTATTTGCATTTTGGTAAACCTGAACCACTCTTAACATCCAAAGACTCTCATATGGGTGTGCCCAGAGCTCCGTTGGGTCTTAACACATACACACCTCTATGCTTTGGTCTCCTTTTGGTAAGCAATTCTACACAGTACCAGAGGTGTTTCAAATCTGATAAGGCCAATTCTTTACCACAGATCCCTTTGTGTTCACTACATTTCTCACCACTTCCAATTTTAGTTACCGCCCGGTTATCCTCCCAAACAAGATCTCCAATACTGCCTTAAAGGTTGTTGGTACTATCTTGCTAATTGCAGATTTACACACACAACCTTTGTGTAATAGAACCTTCTATAA